ATAAAAATAATAGTTGTTTCTTCATAGGGTTCTTTAACAGTAATTTCAACTGAACATCAAAAGACAAAAGAACTTGTAGGTAAAACAAAAAATGTTAATTTATCAACTTTAATTTAGATAACATATCTGCATATGTTATTTTGCTCAGCTTCTGATTTATGTATGATGTTATAAGGTTGACCTTATAAGGTTATAAAACTCTGTTCTTTTATGTTATAAAATATTATTTCTGAGATTGTTGAGAAATCCTGTTTATTTCCCTGCAGACTGACTGAAAATGCATGATTGAGTATTAGTGGGGGAATGAGGCTGGATGGTGATGAGGATGCTGCCCTCCTCCTCCTCCTCCTCCTCCTCCTCCTGAAGGAGCATCTTCTCCCCTGACGTCATGACAGCAGCAGCATCAGCTGTTAGCTCCGCCGCTGTTAAAGCCTCTCCGCTGCCCGTCGCTCCCGGCACAAAGGAAATATATGAGATCCCCTCTGATCCCTGAAATGGCGACACAGGAGGTTCAGATGAACGAGACTCTGGCCCACCTGAAAACCGAGTCCGAATCGCTGAAGAGCAAACTGGAGGAGGAGAGAGCCAAGCTGCACGATGTCGAGCGTGAGTCCTGAAAATGGAGCGGCCTCCATGCGTCTGCGCTGCTGCCTGCAAACGGAATAACGGAGCATCTCTGCTCTGCTCAGGCTGAGCTCGGCGGCTCTCTGGGTGGGAATATGCGGGAGATTAGGGATTAAATGGGCCGGATGTTGCCGATGAGGAACCAAACGTTTCCTCCTCGATCGCTTCAGTCCTGAAATGTTCACTCCGTTCCTCTGATGCGCCACAAAATGCTGCTTTTAACGCATATTTGACGCGTTTGGTTTGTTCAACAGATAGAAAGGTTATTAAGCTGCAGTTTGATCATCAGTTTGATTAATGATGCATTCGCAGCGATAGTCTGATCTATGGAAGACGATTATGGGCATTTTATTTGAATTTAATATGGAAAAAGTCTGAATTCATACTTTTTTCCCCCCTCAGAATTCTTACTTTAATCTCCATTCTGACTTTAATTTCAGATTTCTGGCATTAATCTCAGATTTCTGGCATTAATCTCAGATTTCTGGCTTTAATCTCAGAATTTTGACTTTAATCTCAGAATTCTGGCTTTAATCTAAGAATTCTGACTTTAATCTCAGAATTCTTACTTTGATCTCAGAATTCTG